ATAAGCTTCTAATTTCATTATACTCATACTGGAGTTTTGCCCTCCTCAATGATTCCTAACTGATACATTCTAATCTGTTACTCTCTCAGGCTTCCCCAATTCAGTAAGTGACACCAACATCCATCAATTGCTCCCTTAACTTCCTGCTTTCAGCCCATCATGAAGTTCTTGGCAAACTAGGTCCAAAAATACATATTGAATATGTCCACTTGTCTATTTCTTCTGCAACACCCTATGCAGAGTAATTCCTACCCCTTAACTGTTTCCATGTCTATTTTCAACCCCCAATCTATTCTGTTTCTAAATGCTAATTTAAAATATGTGAAGTTTTTCAATGACTTCATATTGCACTTACTCACATAGTACTGCATAATTTGGCTCCTGCCTAATTCTCCAAACCCATCCTGCATCACTTTTTCCCTTATCAAAGGGAAAGTCACAGTCGCTTCCTATCAAGATAGACCAAGTTCTTTCTCACCTCAGAGTTTCCAGACTTGCTATTCATTCTACTTGGAATGTAATTCTAAAGACCTCACATCTTCAAGTCTTGGTTTAATATCACCTACTCAGAAAAGGCCTTCTGTGACCAACCTAACTTGGCCTTTCTTTTATTCTGTTAACACTATACTATTTTAACTCTTTTTTTGCATTTATCACATTTTATAAATGTTAAATGATACTGTAAGGGTGGATAGCTGCCATTATACATTTGTCAAAATCCATAGAACAAAATCCATAAATTTTGCATTTATCACATTTTATAAATATTTTGTTTACTTATTCATTTTTTTAAGATTTGTTTATTTATGCATATAAGAACTGGAGTGTAGGCCAGCAGTGCAGGGGTGAAAGGATTCACCAGAGACAGAGTGGGGAACAAAATAGGCAAATCTACTGAAATACACTGCTGAGGAGAGCAGCAGGTGAGACAGAAGAGGTCTGCTGAGCCATGTGGGTCACCTCCCTGGCTGGGGATCGAACTCATCTGCAGTAGCTGTGGATTGAGTCATAGTGCTGATGCTTAGCCCCTTGTACCACCAGGGAGGCCCTTTGTTAACTTATTGTTTACTGTTTTTCTCCCTTAGCTAGGATGCCCATGGAGGCAATAGACATTTCTGTTTCATTCACCTAGTGCTGAATTCAATCCCTGGCACATAATTGATGCTTAAAATATATTTGTGGAAAGATGAATTTAGTGAATGGATTCCTTGTAGGCATATTTATGGTTTCTGCTTCCTAATAATTTTAGTCTGGCATGACCTCTCATAGGCCCAGTTCTAACTTCTTCCTCATGACACCAACTTTATCTTTGATTTTTCTTTAGGTATGTTCTGATGCCTGGTAATAGTTCAACTAGTGATTTCACGACTAGGATGAATGGTGTTGCAGATTAAGCTGCTTCTTTAACAGTGGCTTTGATTACCCTTGAAAAGAGCTTTGAGATACACTATGATGTACATGTTCAGTAGAAGAGCTATCACTCATTTTTTCTTTTTGGTACCATGCTTTATGTGCCATTTCATTCTTGAAAATTGAAATAACCCAAGATTGTTTGTATTCTGGGACTCCAAGAAGAGTAGAATGGAAATACCTAAATGAAATCATTGTTTATGATTACATAATTGCTTTTATTTTTGTAGTTATCTATAAAAACTCTCTAGTATCTTGAAATTTTTTTAAGATTTATTTATTTATGCATACAAGAACTGGGGTGTAGACCAGAGGTGTGGGGTGTGTGAAAGGATTCACCAGAGAGAGTGGGGAGCAGAACAGGTAGATCTACTAAATCCACTGCTGACAGGAGCAGTGGGCAAGATAGGAGAGGTCTGCTGCACTATGTGGGTTGTTCCATGGCCAGCCAGCCAGTCCAGATTGAACTAGTGCTTGCAGTGACTGACTATAGCTTGATAGGGCTGTGTCTAACCCTGTGCCACCAGGGAGGCCCTAGTATCTTGTAATTTAATCCCTCACCTTCCATTATAAAAGTCAACATTTTACAAACTTCTATTTAAAAACAAAAAACAAATAACCTAGGGGCTTCCCTAGTGGTGCAGGGGTTAAGTCTCAGCTATCAAGCTATCACCAGCCACTGCAGCATGAGTTGGATCCCTAGCAAGGGAGCTAACCCACATGGTGCAGCAGATCTCTCCTGTCTTGCCTGCTGCTCCCCTTAGCAGTGGATTTCAGTAGATCTGCCTGTTTTGCTTCCCACTCTCTCCCTGGTGAATCCTCTCACCCCCCCCCACACCTCTGGCCTACACCGCAGTTTTTGTATGCATAAATAAATAAAAATAACTCTTTAAAAAACTTAAATTAAATTAAAAAACTAAAAGCAACAGAATGAACGTCTAGCATTTCAAACATATTTAAAAACATTAATATATTTTATTTTTTGAGCATTTTAGGCTTAAAAATCAACAGAAAGTACAGTTTCATATACATATTCCAGATGTCCCCACAGTTTCCCCTATTATTAACATAATGCTTAGTTCATACATTTGTTACAACTGACAAACTTATATTGGTATATTACTATTGACTAAAGTACATGGTTTATAATAGGGCTCACTTTTATAAGTTCTATGGATTTTGACAAATGTATAATGGCAGCTATCCACCCTTACAGTATCATACAGAATAATTTCAAGCGCCCTAAAAATTGCCTGTGGTTTACCTATTTAGACTTCATTCTCATCCTCCTTCCCACTGAACCCCTGGCAACCACTAATTTACTGTCTCCATAAATTTACATTCTCCCAAAGCCCATGTAGTTGAAACAATACAGCGTGCAATAGTTTCAGATTGGCTCCTTTTACTTAGCAATATGATTTAATATTCCTCCATGCCTTTTCATGGCTCAATAACTCAATTTTTTAAAAGATTTATTAATTTATGCATACAAGAATTGGGGTAGAGTCCAGAAGTGGGGGGGCAGGGGTGGAGGGTGAGAGGATTCACCAGAGACAGAGTGGGAGCAGAACAGGCAAACTTACTGAAATACACTGCTGAGGGGAGCAGCATGCCAGATAGGAGAGGTATGCTGCGCCATGTGGGGAGCTCCCTGGCCAGCCAGGAGCAAATTCGTGCTATAGTGACTGTGGATATCTTCACAGTGATGAGACTTAACCCCTTGTGCCACCAGGGAGGCACTCAGCTGCTTCTAAATTCCGGCAGTTGTGAATAAATTTGCTGTAAAATCCATGTCCTGGGCTGTATGTGTGTGTCTGCTGAATCTTATAAAAATGGTATGCTTAGTTTTGTAAAAACTGCCAAAACGTCTTTCAATGGGATGTACAATTTTGCATTTCCACTGTTAATGAATAAGAGTTCCTGTTGCTCCAAATCCTCATTAGCCTTCTGTATCAGTGTTTCAATTTTAGACTTAATAGGTGTTTGGTTGTATCTCACTCTTTTCATTTGCAACCCTCTAATGACATATGACTTGAGAATCTTTTCATTTATTTATTTGCCATTAGTATATCTTCTGTGGTGAGATATCTGTTCAGAGCTTTTGCTTATTTTTTTTCCATTGGGTGGTTTGCTTTCTTTTTGAAATGTGAGAGTTTTTTTTTTTTAGTAAAATTTAGATACTTTTAACAGACAAGTGTTTTGCAAAGATTTCTCCTACTCTGTAGCTGGTCTTTTCATTCTCTTAGAAGTGACTTTTCCAGGCAGACATTTCAAATTTTTAACAAAAAGCCTTGTAATTACACTAAAATAAGTTGTGAGGAATGTTGCAAAAACTTTGTTGATTACTGAATGTTTGTGTGAATGGCTTCTACAACCTCTTTCAACTAGATTCTTCTGTGTCTGAGCAAAGAATGATGGTGCATTGTGGATTTTTCCCATACGAATTCTTGTGTTCCCCCCATTACGGCATTACTATATAATAGTTGCAGAACATTTAGAAAATGTAGAAAAGAAAGAAAGATAATGTGATTTTTTTTAAAGATTTTTTTTTATGTATTTATGCATAGAAGAACTCAGGTGTAGGCCCAGGTGGTGGGGGGGGAGGGCGGGAGGTGAGAGAATTCACCAAAGAGAGTGGGGAGCAGAACAGGAGGATCTACTGAAATACACTGCTGAGGGGAAAAATGGGCAAGACAGGCAAGGTCTGCTGCACCATGTGGGTTAGCTCCCCATCTTGGGATTGGGGTTTGGGGGTTGGGGATCAAACTCAGGCCACAGTGGGTGGTGATAGCTTGATAGTGTTTACACTTTAACCCCTGCACCACCACGGAGACCCAGAAAATATGATTTTTCAAAAATGGTGTGGCATTGAGTAGGTGGAAGAACTTTGGAAAATAAGCAAAAAAATCTAAACAGGCATGCTTATATGCCTGCCTTTCATTAATAGCAATTCAACATTTCTTCATTTTCCCACTACTTCAAATGTTACATGTGTAGAAATACAGTAAAGTGGTATAAAAATAATTAACTTAAAAAACATGTTTATTGTAACAAGTTAACCATCACAAACTGTATGAAGTAAAAAGTGATGGTCTTCCTGTACCCCATCCTTCTCTCTAGTTTTTTTTTTTTTAAATGTTTAGACTTTTTTTTTTTTAATAGAGGCATGTTTTATTTATTTGTTTGTTTGTTTATACAAGCACTGGGTACAGTCAGAAACGCGGGAGGGTGAGAGAATTCACCAGAGCCAGAGCAGGGAACAGAGCAGGCAGAAGGACCGAAGTACACTGCTGAGGGGAGCAGCGGGCGGCAGGAGAGGTCTGCACACCATGTGGGACCCTCCTCTGGTGGCCGGGGAGCAGCCGGGGATCGAACCGGCGCCGCAGAGGCTGCGGGCAGCTTCGCAACCCAGCGCTCAACCGCTGCACCACCCGGGAAGCCCTCCTTCTCTCTAGTTTTAATTGTTTTCTAGAGAAACAAAAATCTTTATACTCATGCATCTCCACTTTTATACATATAAACATCTTTCAGCTTTGTGAATCAGGGATCACTTATGTTTATCTTTTTGTTTTATTACTTAAAAAAAATTATTATTTTGCTCTCTGACTCTGTGCTTTTATCTTCAACATTTTCACAATGATTTTTTGCTCCTTAATGAGAAAGTCATGCTTGATCCTACCATGAACACATTTACCACACTTGGAGACACCGTAGGCCCTGTTGACAAGGTGTTCTGTTTTAGACAACATCGTAAGAACTTTGGGTCTCAGTGTACAAATTCTTGAAGTCAGCCTATGCATACATCATATGCATTTGATGTGGATTTTTGTGTTTTCCCAAGCTTCTTGGCATAAAGGTAAACAGTACTATTAATAGGCATTTGGGACAGTCTCATTTTGTTAGAGGCTGTATTGTAGTATAATTTATGATGGTATTTCAAGTGCTGGACCATTCTGAATACCTCTAGATAAAATTCCAAAAAGAGGAAAAAGAAACACCTATGTCTATCTTGACATACACCATTGTAAACCTAGTGCATACCACAGAGCTCAGTACAGAGAAGGTACACATTTGAAAGTATAAATGTCACACTCTAGATTGTTCTGTGACTTTTTTTTTTTTTTTTTTTCAGTGGGACCCTCCCCACGGCCAGGAACGAATCGGCACTGCAGAGGCTGCGGGCAGCCTTGCAGCCCAGCGCTCAACCGCTGCACCATCGCTGACTTATTTTGTTAAGAAATCAGCCTAAATATCTTCCCATGTTAGGATATCTATAGTTCCTACATTCTTTTCAAATGATTTCACAATAATCTACTATCTAGAGGGCACGATCATGTATTCAATTAGTACCCTATTACTGGATATTTAGGTTATATTTTTTTTATATATACACACATAATTGCAAACAATGCCACAGTAGCCATTAGAGCCACATTATCTTGTAAAAATAAGTTACATTAATTTACCCTTTTACTAACAGAACAGGCAGACTGACGAAACACATTGCTGAGGGGAGCAGTGGGCGCGACAGCAGAGGTCTGCTGTGCCATGTGGGACCCTCGCCAGCGGCCGGGATCGAACCAGTGCTGCAGAGGCTGTGGATAGCTTCACAGCGAGGTGCTCAACCACCTGCGCCATCAGGGGAGGCCCTAATTTTTTTTAAAATTTGTTTTATTTTACTTATGCACAGAGGAAGGGGGGTGTAGGCCAGAGGTGCAGGGGATAAGAGGATTTACCAGGGCCTCCCCGGTGGCGCAGCGGTTGAGCGCTGGGTTGCGAAGCTGCCCCGCAGCCTCTGCAGCACCGGTTCCATCCCCGGTCGCCAAGTGAGGGTCCCACATGGCGCGCAGACCTCTCCTGCCGCCCACTGCTCCCCTCAGCAGTGTACGTCGTCAGTCTGCCTGTTCTGCTCTCTGCTCTGGCTCTGGTGAATTCTCTAGCCCTCTTGCGCTTCTGACTGTACCCAGTGCTTGTATAAATAAACAAACAAACAAATAAATAAATAAATCTTTAAAAAAAAAAAAGAGGATTCACAAGGGACAGAGTGGGGAGCAGAACAGGCAGATCTACAAAAATACACTGCTGAGGGGAGCAGTGGGCAAGACAGGAGAGGTTTGCTGCACCATATGGGCCAGCTGCCTGGCCTGGGATCGAACTCAGGTCATTTTGGTGATAGCATTGATACTCACCCTGCAGACCACCAGGGAGGCCCCTAATGTTTGAATATATATTTTTTAAGATTTATTTTATTTATTTATGAATACAAGAGCTGGGGTGTAGGCCAGAGATGCGGGGAGTGGGGGTAGTGAGGGGGTTTAGAGGATTCCCCAGAGATAGGGCGGGAAGCAGAACAGGCAGCTTGACTGAAATACACTGCTGAGGAGAGCAGCGGGCGAGACAGGAGAGGTCTGCTGCTCCATATGTGGGTTAGCTCCCTGGCCTGGGATTGAACTCCTGCTGCAGTGGCTGCAGATAGCTTCATAGTGCTGAGACTGCTGCACTACCATGGAGGCCCCTGTTTGAGAGACCTGAGCAATGAGAGACCTGAGAGTTTGAGAAAGTTTTTATATATTATAAAATATTTCAGCCACAAAGATCTTCAAATACGATGTTTCTATGCACTTGTTTTATAGATGCAGAAATAGGAATTCTGAAAAGTGAAATGATTTATCCAAGTTGACATTATCCATTAGTAGCAGATCTAGACTTGGAAACAAGGTTGTCTGTGTCTTAGCCTATTATCCTTTTTTAAAAACGGTTTATTTTTATTCATGCATGTAAGAACTGGGGTGTTGGTCAGTAGTGGGTTGGTAGTGGTGAGAAGATTCACCAGAGACAGAGCAGAATAGGCAGATCTACTGAAATACACTGCTGAGTTGAGCAGCAGGCGAGACAGGAGAGGGTCTGCTGTGCCACATGGGCCAGCTCCCTGGCTAGAGCGAACTCATGCCACAGTGGCTGGTGACAGCTTGATAGTGCTAAAACTTTACCCCTGTGCCACTAGGGAGGCCCAATCTTTTTTTTTTTTTTTTTTAAACTCAGCAAAAATTTAGTAAGCATGAAATCTTTACTAAAGAGGATTCCAGGAAATAAGGATACATTATTTGTTGAGCACATTTTTTTGCGCCACTGTTTTCATACACATTACAATTTAGCATAGTGTACCTATCATACCAAATGAATTAATCTAATAGCTTTTGGAAAAGATATTAGGGATTGTCCATGTTTCAGCAATAGGAGTAATTTTTTTTTTTAAGATTTATTTATTTCATTTATGCATACAAGACCTGGGGTACAGGCCAGAGGTGCGGGAGGGTGAAAGGATTCACCAGAGACAGAGTGGGGAACAGAACAGGCAGACTGACTGAAAACACTGCTGAGGGGAGCAGTGGGTACGACAGGAGAGGTCTGCCACGTCATGTGGGCATCTCCCCGGCCAGCCGGGATCCAACCTTCACAGCGCTGCACTTAACCCGCTGCGCCACCAAGGAGGCCCAATAGGAGTAATTCTTGTAGTGAAGTCTGGAACAAGGGGGAAATGATTTGTTTCACACAAAAAAGGTGTCAAAAGGAGAATGCGACTGCTTGCTCATTTTTTTTTCCCCCATGCCCACCGCATCAGTTTCTGTGTATAGGTCATCAATGTGTGCAAACTTGAGTATGTCAAAATTGAGTGACGGTCAGCTGAAGCTGTGAGAGTAGCTGGATGTGGCTGTGGATACAGGTGGGAAAGATCACGAAGGGTTTTATAGATCTAGTTAAGGATGGTCCCAAGAGTCATAAGATGGTAAGGAAGGGTTTTAGCAGGTGTGTTCCAGAAGGTCTTACTTGCAAGTAAAAGAGATAAAGATTCAGAGATGGGGTTGGTGAGCAGAGAAAGAGCCAGCAAATGGATTAGGAAAGCTTCAAGTGGATGAATGAGGAAGCTGCATCGTTAGCTCAGGTGGTAAATGATGCTGCCTTGTTCCCTGGTTGAAACATATAAAGCAGTAGAGCTATGTTAGCCAGACGAAACTGACAGGGCTTGATTAATTTATATGGCAGAGAGAGAAGGTAGTGTTCTGGATGACTCTGGTGTCCAATTATTGCTGCTGAATGCACGTGGGCAATGTTCACTGAGGTGGGAACTATGGAGATGGATGATTAGGGGGCAGACCTTGTGTTCAGGTTTTTTTTTTTAAGATTTATTTTACTTATTTATGCATACAAGTCCTGGGATGCATACAAGTCAGAGGTGTGTGTGTGTGAGAGAGAAAGAGGATTCATCAGAGACAGAGTGGGGAGCAGAACTGGTGGATCGACCGAAATACACTGCTGAGAGTTAGCTCTCTCCCTGGCCAGGGATTGAACTCCTGCTGCAGTGGCTGTGGATAGCTTCATAGTGCCGAGACTTAACACTTTGCACCACCAGGGAGACCTTGTGTTCAGGTTTTTAAAATGTCAATTAGGCCCACAGAGTGGTTAGACTAAGGAATTAGAGTTCTGGGCCTCCCTTGTGGCGCAGGCATTACTCTCAGCACTATGAAGCTATCCCCAGCCACTGTGGCATGAATTCTACCCCAGATCCCGGTCAGGGAGCTGACCCACCTGGCACAGCACTCCTCTGCAATCTTGCCCGCTGCTCCTCCTCCTCAGCAATGTATTTCATTAGATCTCTGTTCTGCTCCCCACTCTTGTCTCTGGTATTCACCCACTTCTGGCCTACACCCCAGTTCTTGTATCCATAAAGATAAATCTTTAAAAAAAAATAATTAGAGTTCTGAGAAAAGCTAAAGACTTTGATTTCGGGAGTCTCTGGTCCTCTTATAGACTATATTTCTTGGGTAGAGGTGCTTTCTTTTCTTTTTTTTAAAGCTATGTTGATTCCAGGAAGGTCTAAGTAAAAAGTGTTGGATGGTTCAGACGTTCAGGGGTAAGTTACTATTTTTGTATTGAATATTTTGCTTTTCATTATACTATTATCTACAATTTCCAGATTATGAACTAAGATCCGTGTTGTTGATTAGCTGAAGGCCATCCCATGTACATGTTAGTAAGGAATTGTAGATAGTGGCGCTCTTAGATCCTTGCTAATCAGGTTGATTAGACAGTACTCTAAGTATTTCATATTTTGATTCAGGTACTTATGGAAATAATCTAACTTTTCCTCAAATCACTGATTTGTTGTCACAGCACGGGACTCACTTGGGGAACCAGTGGGTTCTTAAAAATAAGCTTTTAAAAATCGAAGGACACTTCTATTTTTCATTACAGCTGCATCGAATAAAATTAGTATCCATATCGCATCTGAAATTCAAATGTCTTTGTCTGGTCTTGTACTAGTAAACGATTACAAAGGAAATGTCACTCTACCTAAGATGCAGTTGCCAACATTTTCGAAAAGAAACAGGTATTCCCCCCCCCCCGCCCCCAGTTGTCCTCACCGCACAGCTTGTGCTACTTTAAGTTGCTCAAACTGTGTTAGGAGGAAGCCCTTAACTGCATAAAAGGCCAGGGACTGAAACGGGGTGTTGCACAACTCTTCACCGCCGGGAGGTTTCGCTTCCAAATCTGGCCTTCACATCATCCCAAAGCGAGATCCGCTCCTCGCTTCACTGGAGCCAGCCCGGTTCCCCTCAAAAGCAGCCGGGGTTTCCTCGGCCGAGCCTCGGGCGCCCCTCCCTCCGCCCAGGGTCCTCGGGCAAGCGTCGCCGCCGGGGCGCGGGCCCCGGGGAGGTTCTATTGTCCAGCCGGGGAGACCCGGCGCCCCCGGGGCGACTCCCGTCCCCAAGTCCCGCCGTCCAGGTTGACCAAAGGTCCGCGGGTCTCCGCGCCGGCCCCCTCCCCCGCCGCCCCATTGTCTGCCTCGCCCCGCCCCGGGGGACACGTGCGCCTGCAGCTTCCCGAACGCGGAGCGCGCGGGGCGGCAGCGGCGTGGACACCGCCTGGAACGGCTTCGCGGCCGCGGAGCCGGGCGCGCACGGACCGGTGGGTGCCCTCCGGGGAGCTGCAGCCGCAGCCCGCGCCCCCCGCCTCGAGCCCCGCCGGCGCGGGACGGGTCGGGGGTGGAGCGGGCGGGAGCTCTGTGGGGGTGGCGTGCGCGTGGTGCTGCGGTGGGGGTGGGGCGGGGCGGGGTGGGGAGATGCCTGTCTCCTGACAAAGGAGAACGAGTGGGACACGCCGGGCAGGCCCGCCCCGCCCCGCCCTGCGGAGGGGAGCGGGAGGGGGAGTGTCGGAGGGGAAGGGGCGGGCCTTTCATTCACTCTCGGCCCCTCCGCCGCCGCGGGAGCGGAAGGGCGGGGTCTCGCGTCCCCTCCGGGAGTGAGGCGCGAGGGAGGCGGCGGGGCGTGGGGGCGGAGTCCGCGGGCGCGCGTCCCGAGGCGTCGGCTACGTCGTCACGTCAGCGCGGGAGAGAGAAAGAGAGAAGCCGACTCGGCAGGGACTGGGGGACGGGGCCGAGAGAGCGAGCGAGGGAGGGAGTGAGCGAGAGAGCGTGCGGACAGGGAGCGGCGAGGCGGCCACTCTTGCCTGAGCGGCCGCGGAGCGTGGCGGCGGTGGGGGAGAGGCGCAGGGAGGGGAAGCGGGGAGGCCGCGAGGAGAAGGCCGACGGAGGCTGGTGGTGGTAGTGGTGGTAGGGGGAGAAGGAGGAGCTGGAGGAGGGCAGGGGCTGAGAGAGTGAGTGAGAGAAGCGGACGCGCGAGGGAGGGGAGAGAAGGGGGGTCACGCGGGGGCGCGCGCGCGCACCGGGAGCGCGCTCGGAGGCGAGTGGAACTGGATCGGGTTTGCTGCCAGCGGCGTGAGCTTCGGCCGCCATTTTACAACAGCTCCACTCGCGCCGGACACAGGGAGCAGCGAGCACGCGTTTCCCGCAACGCGATCTCTTCGGACAGGATTCCTCCGCCGCAGCCCAACGGGGAGGTAACGACCGCCGGGGCCCGGGTGCGGGAGAGGGGCTCCGTGACATCGTGGAGTGAGCTGGGGGAGGGTGGTGCGGGGAGAAACCGGCTTTTCTGGAAAATGGATTCCAAGGGGGTGAGGAGCACGTTGACTGGGGCTGCCTGGGAGTAGGCCGCGGCCCGTGCCGCCACTTCCTCCTCTTCTCCATGTGCTGCCGCCGGTCGGGCTTTGTCTGCGGCGCTCCGGGGAGGAGGCGGCCCGCGGACCGCGAGCGGCGGCGGAGTTGGTGCTGTCGTGGCCGTCGCCGCGGCGCGGGAGTGGGCGGAGAGGCGCGGGTCCCGTCCCGCAGCCGCGCGGCGGGCCGGGGTGGTGCTCGCGGTCCGGCGGGCGTTGGGCAGTTCTCGGAACGCCTTGTCGCTGCCGGCTTGTCGGCCGGCCCGGGGGTGGGACGGCTGTCCCCTCGCCGCAGTCGCGCACCGACGGGCGAGGGGTGGGGGCTGGCACCGCGCGCCGAGCCTCGCGTCTCGGCGGGGCGGGCGGCCGGCCGGGGGTCGCCGGCGCCCGGGGCGGAGAGAGCCATGTGTCACGGCGGAGACGGCGGCGCTGGGGGGCGGGGAGAGCCTGTGGCCTGGCGCCGCCGCCGTCTCGGTGTTGAGGGGCGAGGTTGTGCAGCTGCTGCTTTCTGGGGGCTCCAGCCGCGGCTTCGGGTTGATGTCGGGAGCCGGTGACGGTCCTCTTGGCCTGGGACTCGGTGGGTTTCCGTTGAAGGAAGTTGTAGGACATTTGAAGGCGCAGAGCACGTGTTTCTAATGGGTTCCTGGTGGCCGCCGCGGTGAGGCTGCCGCTCTGGGTGCGGAGTCGGGGGCGGGCTTTGGGGTGCGGGGGTGAAGGGTGGAGAAATTGGGTGGTGGGAAGGTGGCTTGTGTGAGCGCTTTGTTCTTCGCTGGCTGTTGTTGTTACTGATCTATAAGCGGCAGGCGGGAAAAGCGCGCACTTTGAGGGTTTACCTTTGAGAGGGAAAAGCCTGGCTTTGCTTTCTCCACACTCACACACCTCATTCTCGGAACGGGCACGACTGCATGTGGCACGCTGGCTGGTCCTCGTGCTGATTGGGCTCCATTTGGTTTTTCCTAGGGAGTGTTAGCAGGTGAGCCAGGGGTGGTGCTAAGGAAACACGGTGAATCTGTCCTGTGCCCCGCGCTCCAAATCTGGCTTGTCAGGCGATAGTGACTTTACGGCTTCTTTAAATTAGGCTGGTTGGTGTAGTAATGGTAGAGAAAGTAATGATTGGGGCTCTCATATTGTCCTCTACCCTCTCTGAAGATCCTAGTTTAATTTTGCTTATTGCGTTTGAACAGATCTCTGGAAACATGGCTACAGAACATGTTAATGGAAATGGTACTGAAGAGCCCATGGATACTACTTCTGCAGTTATCCATTCAGAAAATTTTCAGACATTGCTTGATGCTGGTTTACCACAGAAAGTTGCTGAAAAACTAGATGAAATTTACGTTGCAGGTAAGAACTAACACTTGCAAAATTATATTATGAAATTTTTCTATTGGATTTCTGGCTTTGAGCTAAAATAGCAACTTTTTGTGGTTTCCAATAAGTGTGGGAACTGGAGTTTTGCCTCGTTGTGATAGTTTGAGCCTAGAGGTTAAGGTGACTAGAGGGAGGGGAGTAGGAAGGTTAGGAGGTAAAGGCTGGCTGGCCAGATGGATAAGTATATGATGGTAGCAACAGCTGCTAAATGTTGGGAACAGGCCATGTGACTTTTTGGGGTATTTTTCATAATAGGATTCTTGTTAAATAACACGGTTAAAACTAGTCTTGTAGTCTGTCTGTCTTGGTGTGGCTGTTGCTTTTTCTCCTGGTATTTGAAATCGAGTGGAGGTTTTAGGTGTCATGCTTGGTACTTTGTTGGTTGATTTTAGAATTTGTAAGCCTATATATTTACTGTAGAAATGCTTAGTGTTCACAACTATCTGACTTAGACACAGAACAAGATCTAAAAGAAGTTGATTCCTTATTGTGTGTTTGAGGCCTTATTGTAGTTCAGAATGGCTAAAGTATGTTTTTCATTATATAGATGATAAAGGGAATGGAAGAATTATTAGTTGGCGCACCAGTACCTGTGCTGGTAAATCTGGTCTTTTCTAAACAAAAAATCATTCCAAAAATATTAAAAGTTTTCTCTTTTAATTAAGTTTTCTCTTCTCCAGGGCTTGTTGCACATAGTGATTTAGATGAAAGAGCTATCGAAGCTTTAAAAGAATTCAATGAGGACGGCGCATTGGCAGTTCTTCAGCAGTTTAAAGACAGTGATCTCTCTCATGTTCAGGTAACATTAATGTCAGATTAAAAAAAATCTTGAGAAGTTTTGATATAATTTAAGTTTTAATTAGATAGAGATACGACAATTGTTAAACATGGTTGGAACATTCCTTTACAGAACAAAAGTGCCTTTTTATGTGGAGTCATGAAGACTTACAGGCAGAGAGAAAAACAGGGGACCAAAGTAGCGGATTCTAGCAAAGGACCAGATGAGGCAAAAATTAAGGTATGTCTTTAAAACCTTTATTTATTTATTTATTTAAAAAAAAAAAAAACACTCTTCAGTTGTAAAGTTTTTTTTTGTTTGTTTGTTTGTTTTAGCTTTGGTAACTATTTTTAGTGTGTGTAAGATGTTGAGAGTTAATGACCATGGCATAATCTGTTAATCTTCTAATTGCTATTTTTTAAAAGTTTCCTGCCTTTTAACTTTTTCTGTTCTAAAAACATTTCACTGTTCTTAAGTTTTTCTTGTAAACTCAGCTACTGATATTTAAATCTGTGCTATTGGTACTCTGATTTTAAAAAATTTAAGAAATACCCATTGTATTTCTAGATTTCTTTTCCTGAAAAGCTGAAAGTCAGGGTTAATGACAGTGGAACCAAAGAGAATTTTTAGCATTACCTCTTGATAGCTTTTCTTAGGATTCTTAGGCCTCCAAACTAAATGGATTTAGAATTTTAACACTATCTCCTCCCCTCCCCCCACCATTATGTGGGCCAATTTGATCATTTCTGAAAGCAGTTTCTAATAGGATTGGTTAGTGTAGAAATAAATGTAAAAGAGGAAACTGAGGCTGGGGGAGAAGGGTGTTTTTTTTTTTTTTTGTTGTTGTTGTTAAATTTAAATCCTATAGTGGCATCAAAACCAAGTAAGGTTTTTGACTTTTGTTTTTGAGTTTTTAGAAGATAATGGTGACCGTACTACTTTGGACTTGCTCTTAATATAGTGTGTTAGTGTTCTTGAACCAAGGATTATAGTTAGCAAATCAGCTATTGAAGGTATAAGTAGTAGGTGGTGTTTTAGTGTTAGGGGAAGAGGAAACTTGAAATACAAAGTTAGCTATTGTTGTTTTCATTAACAGACAGTTTGAGGCTTTTATAGGTCTAGTGTTTTTTTTTTAAAATAAAGATTTATTTATGCATGCAAGAACTGGGGTACAGGCCAGAGGTTTGGGGGGGTGGTGAGAGGATTCACCAGAGACAGAGCGGGCAACAGAACAGGCAGATTGACTGAAATACACTGCTGAGGAGAGCAGCGGGTGAGTCAGGAGAGGTCTGCTGTGCCATGTGGGTAGCTCCCTGGCCGGGGATGGAGTGCTGCCTTGGCTGCGGATAGCTTTGTAGGTTGCGTCTTAATCCCTTGTGCCACCAGGGAGACCCCTATAGGTCTAGTTTTAAGTAAGTTTTGTTTGAACTATAAATCTAATTTTTTGGTAGAAATGGAGTATAGTTGTCTCCATTATAATCATTTCATTTGTAATTTTTTTTTAAAGATTTTATTTATTTATTTTATTTATTTATACAAGCACTGGGTACAGTCAGAAGCGCGGGAGGGTGAGAGAATTCACCAGAGTCAGAGCAGGGAGCAGAGCAGGCAGAAGGACCGAAGTACACTGCTGAGGGGAGCAGTGGGCGGCAGGAGCCGTGTGGCCGGGGAGCAGCAGGGGATCGAACCGGCGCTGCAGAGGCTGCGGGCAGCATCGCAACCTAGCACTCAATCACTGCGCCACCGGGGAGGCCCTCATTTGTAATTAAATCTACATTTGGGAGTTAAAAAATCACTAAAAGTTTACCAAAAAGTGTAGTTTTGTGACTTCCAGTTCCATCTTTGGAAGAGAGTGGCTCAAAGTTTTATTGTGACTATATTGTGACAAAAGGCATAGAGATGTTTTTACAGGATGTTTGATAGAGAAAATAATATTTCCTGTTTGTTTTTGGGGGTTAACATGAAAGGCATAACCTGTATTATTAAGATGAAAGTGGCACAAGTACTCTACAATGCATGATAGGGGGAAAAGGGAAGATGAGCCATTTTATAGTTGATGTGATAGTAAGATTGCTCATTTTTATTATTAACCCAGTGTTGCACTCTTAAGCAATTAAGCAAACACTGGCTAAACTAGAATAAGACTGCTTAAAATATGTAACACTTGGTGGGCCGTTTTGTTAGAAATTTTAGGAATAGAGAGGTTTTTAAGTTGTATTATTTTCGTAAAATACTTGATGTGTGTAAAAGCTTTTCATTCTGAGATGGGGGTGATCCCAAATCATATAGCTATATTTGGTAAGTTGTCATGTGCCTAGTGTTTGTTTTTATTTCAGAATTTGTCGGTTAATTATTAGGTTGGCTTTATTATTTAGAAAACTGGATTGTTCTTTGTGGTTGAGATAGTGGAAGAAGGGGAATAATTCTTCGCTTTTCCCTTAGGCTAACAGTTGACTATTACTAGTATTTTTGCCTCTAAAATAGGGGTTGGAGAGAGATTTAATGCTTTGAGTAAATCTTAAAAGGTCACTTATAGGGAGATAAAAGTAGAAGTTAGGTCACTGTAGAAGTTAAGTCACATTGTTGCAAATGTTGGTGCTTATTTTTCTGTGAATGCATGTCTGTCCTACCATGGTACAGAGTGTCAAGTGAGAATGTACATTTCTTTTAACTTTTTTTTTTTTTTAAGATCCTTTATGCATACAAGAGCTAGGGTACAGGCTAGAAGTGTGGGGGGTGAGATTCATCAGAGACAGACAGAGTGGGGAACGGAGCAGCCAGATTGATTGAAGTACACTGCTGAGGGCAGCAGCGGGTGAGTCAGGAGAGGTCTGCTATGCTATGTGGGTTGCTCCCTGGCCGGCTGGGGATCGAACTCGCGCTGCTGAGGCTGTGGACAGCTTCATGGGTTGCTCCTTAACCCCTTGTGCCACCAGGGAGGCCCCATTTCTTTTAATTTCTAAGTGTCTGGACTTAGTTTGAAGAGTGTAATTTCTATACTGTTCGGTGAAATGCCCAGAATAGGAGTGTGGGATACAAGAAGTGTATTGGTTAAGAAATTCAGACTTTGGAGATCTGATAACCTATCTATCCTTTGCAGGAGAGGATTAATTCAACCAAATACAAGTATGGTCATTTTTTGAGGTGTTAGAATAGAAAAACTTTGCCTTGAAGGTTGTTGATGGGTCAGTTTAAATTTTTGTTTTTCACTAAGCACAACTCAGTGATTTACTGGAGACTAGAAAGTAATTTTAACAGGATTCTGAAATTTGCACCATAAATTAAGGCTATAACAAGTGCATATTAAGAAATTCTGAGAGACACTAGAAACCTGTTCCTAGGGAATGTTGCCAAGATTAATGGAAAGATTTGAACAAGATTGATTTTTAACTGCTGAATGCATGGGTGTAGTCTTGTGAATTAAATGTATTAATGACATTTGAACTCTTTAAGGCACTCTTGGAAAGAACAGGCTACACACTTGATGTGACTACTGGACAGAGGAAGTATGGGGGACCGCCTCCAGATTCCGTTTATTCAGGTCAGCAGCCTTCTGTTGGCACTGAGGTAAAGAAACTAAAAACTTGTACCTTTTGTAATAAATGCACAGGTATCTGTTTTCCTAAAGAAGCTCTCCATGGTTTTTACTTCATATTTAACTTACAGATATTTGTGGGAAAGATCCCAAGAGATCTATTTGAGGATGAACTTGTTCCATTATTTGAGAAAGCTGGACCTATATGGGATCTTCGTCTAATGATGGATCCACTCACTGGTCTCAATAGAGGTTATGCGTTTGTCACTTTTTGTACAAAAGAAGCAGCTCAGGAGGCTGTTAAACTGGTAAGTTTCCACCCCTCCCCCTTTTTCTTCACAGTCACTATCTTTAATTAAGCCAGATTTTTTGTTACTGTGCATAAGAGTTAATTAACCATATGCTTTTTGAAGGACTAATTAAGCAGTGTCTTTCACATTCTCTTGGTACACATTGTAGCAGTATATTTTTTGCATGTTATAGTTGATGGCACTCGGGATCTAGAAAGTAGCGTTGACAGGATTCCTTCTTACTGGTTCTTGAAACATCTGGCCTAAGAACTTTCAAAGGTTTAAGGAAGGAATAGATAGGATTTCCATAGTTTCTGGTTATACCTGGGCTATCCCATTTTCTAAAAGACATTAAAGGCATTGTGATAAATAACTACTTAATAAAATAAAGGATTTTGTGGTGCGTGACAATATTTTAAAATACCAGATTTATGTGAGGACCTAGTTATTATCTCAGCCTTTTAGAGTTACAAATTGATGACTTACAGAACTCCTTCAAATGAATTTTACTAAATTTCATGATTTGTACATCTTTTAGTTGAAGATGCTTAAGGTTAATGTCAACTCAAGAGATGTGCCAGGATGTACAACTGGCAAGGAACTTTCATAAATGGTCCATTATGATGTTTGTTAAATGTGTCTCGTCTGGCTTACATATATTTTATGGGTAATTCCAAGCAAATTTAAAATCCTCACACTGATTTCTCTTCCCAAATTTTGTTTTTCCTTCCCATTAGAAATACATACCATTTTAATGCAAACCTTAAGGAGAAAAGGGAAACAAGTATACTTCATTTTGTTTTCTTTGTTGCTTGAATTTCTCCATTGGTGTGTATAATTGAGCGTGTTTTTTAAAAAAATAAGAGTTGAGGAATTTCTTTTTAAATCTTGGTTGATTTTTTTTCCTTCAGAGAATGCTTCCTATTTCAGAGGAGGTACAGCTCTGTAGGGAGCCATTCACTGATAATTTTGAGCTCTTCAAACTGGTTTCAGCAGTTAAAGTAAAAATAAGGACTTTTTCTACTTCTGGATAGATACTGTAGAAATCATCCAGCTTACTCTGTTAAAGAATAGAAACATTTTTGTAAGGTAGCAATAAAGTAGTAATAAGTATAATGTGGAAATTGAGAATGATTGAGACGGCACTGAATTACCTTCCACAAGCTAGTGTAGAATTTAGCTAGTGATGTTAGACCCATTTTACTTACTAGATTTTGCATAGTTTTAATTTTGCCTAATAACATGGTTACTTAGTGTGTTAAAAAGTAATGATTAATGTATTACCATTTTAAAAAGGAATTGTTAAACCAAAATTGTTAGTCTACTTAAATCTTGCTGCCAAAGTACAGTAAATTATGGTAGGTTCTAACTAGAACTTATTTCTGTAATTTCCATAAATCTTGTAGTAAACATCTATCATTAGAGGAAGATGAGATATGATCAGGTTGTGACAGGATTTTGAGTGCCAGTAAATAACACTATGAAACATGTTTCAGTTGTGTAGTTGCCTTGGTTTTATAAATATTATAGTCCAATATTGCATTGCTGCAGGCTTAAAGTAGACTGTAAATAAACTTGTGTTTTAACTATAATACAGGAACTTCCTTAGGTGTCCAGATAGCCATTTTGATTAGTCTGGGAGCTAACTGTTGTTGTAAACTTGTTTTTTTTTTTTTTTTTTTTTAAGATTTATTTATGCATGTAAGAACCGGGGGTATAGGCCAGAGGTGCTGTGGGTGAGAGGATTCACCAGAGACAGAGTGGGGAGCATAACAGGTGGATTGACTGAAATAACTGCTGAGGGGAGCAGTGGGCTCTAGACAGGAGAGGTTTGCTGTGCCGTGTGGGTTCTTAGCCGGGGATCGAACTCTTGCTGCAAGTAGCTGCAGACAGCTTCACAGTGCTGTGACTCAACTCCTTGTGCCACCAGGGAGGCCCCTTTGTTGTAAATAAACTTCTTAACATTTTTGGAGAGGGAGGTTTGAGTTCAGTCCTTACCTTAGGGCATTTTTTTACTGCCTGATGAATTTAGGAGGCTTTGCATCTTAGCACCTTTTTAAAAAAATAAAAATCAGTTTCAGAACTATATAAATTTCAGTGGTATATCTTCACCTCTGTGTGTATAAGGCTCACTCCTCTTGTTTCCAAAGTTCTGGTGCCATTCCCATTATTAGGTTGACACCTTTTACTCTTTTCCTCTTTCCTTGGTGCCTTTTAAAAGATTTGATGGTAGTATATGTCTACTGAGATTAATTGACCATACTGCCTTCCCCCCCCCCCATAAGGTTTATTTTATTTATGTATACAAGAACTGGCATTTAGGCCAGCAGTATGGTGGGGGTGGGTGGTGTGTTTTGTGACAGGATTCACCAGAGAGAGTGGAAGGCAGGAGACAGGCGGATCTACTGAAATACACTGCCAAGGGGAGCAGCTGGCGAGATAGGAGAGGTCTGCTGTGCCATGTGGGTCAGCTCCCTGGAGGGGGATCAAACTCATGCCACAGTCGCTGGCAGTGGCTTGATAGCGCTGAGGCTTTAACCCCTGCACCACCAGGGAGGCCTGGACATACAGCTTTTTCTAAACCATTGTTACCTCAGTTAAAAGTACTTTCACAAATAATTTTTTTAATGTCTATAGCAATAAAATTGGCACTTTTTGAGATAAAAAATACTTTAATGTGGCACTAGAATCATGATGATAATAGAATTGGGAGTTTTGTCTTAATAGAGCAATGTTTTTGAGGAAATGAAACATCAAAATACAGAACTCAAATTGATTTGGCTGTTACTTGCCAGTTTGTATTTAATTATGAAATTTGTGTACCCTCTTTCCCAAATATATTCCTTAAGCATATTTTTTTTTTTTTTTTTAAAGATTTATTTATTTTTATTTATTTATTTATACAAGCACTGGGTACAGTTAGAAGCGCGGGAGGGCGAGAGAAGTCACCAGAGCAAGAGCGGGGAGCAGAGCAGGCAGAAGGACGGAAGTACACTGCTGAGGGGAGCAGCGGGCGGCAGGAGAGGTCTGCGCGCCATGTGGGACCCTCTGCCGGTGGCCGGGGAGCAGCCGGGGATCGAACTGGCGCTGCAGAGGCTGCGGGCAGCTTCGCAACCCAGCGCTCAACCACTGCGCCACCGGGGAGGCCCCTCCTTAAGCATATTTTGAAAATGCTTACTTAGGTCATACTATGAGAGAGTACTTGAATTGCAGCTCTGTGCAAGGTGAATTTTTATATAACTGAACACTTAATTTAGTGATAATTTAAATGTTGAGGAAAATACCTCTTTGGAAATTATATTTCAGACAAGATGAGCATGATCTTTCTTTGCTTTCCTGTACTTTGTGTCTTGAGGAATACCTTAGATTGAGATAGTTGATGTATTTGGCCTTTTTTTTTTCATGTGGTTCTAGTTTAAAAACTTGTCGACTTAAAATTTGCATCTGAATGACTTGTAAAAATAGGTTAATTGATATTAACAATTGAAGAGACATTGAACTCTGAAGCAATAGCAAACTTCTAAAATGATTATTTTCAGCCAACACTTGCCTTATATTTTGGGGAACAGAAAATTACATCCCTCGACAGTGATAATCTAGCTAGGGAAGCAAGATTAAATTGGTGGAAAGGTGAATTAACAGCTACTACTTGAGTGCTTACGGCACAGGAACTGTGCTAGGTGCTACATTATCACCTTAAAATGCCACCTCAACCTATTCAAGGTAAGTGGAATAATCTTCATTCTACTGAAGAGTAAATAAATAAGCTGGGTGACTTACCTGAAGCTGTACAGCTTTAGTTTGATACCAGCTTTATTTTTTATTTAGTTATTATTTAAAGAAACATTTTATTTATACAAGAGCTGGCGTACAGGCTAGAGCGAGGGAGGGTAAGAGGATTCACCAGAGACACAGCGGGGAGCAGAACAGGCAGATTCACTGAAAACACTGCTTGAGAGGAATAGTGGGCAAGACAGGAGAGGTCTGCCGCGCCATGTGGGAATCTCCCTGGCCGGCCTGGAATTGAAACTGTGTGGCAGAGGCTGTGGACAGCTTGACAGCACTGCGTTCAACCCACTGTGCCACCGGGGAGGCCCGGATATCACTTTTATCTCTCAGTGCTTGCTGTTAACTAGACGTAACAATTTAAACCAGTAGTACAGGTTATGTAGTTAGGTGCTGTTGAAAGTTGCTCAGGAAGTAAGTCTTGTCTCTACTGCTAGAATATTTTGGTGTCTAACTGCTTTTTATAATCTATATTGCTACCACCCTAAACTGTCTTTCTAAGAATCCCTTAGTCTCGATGCTTTCCATTGCTCCTTCACAGTCTTAATATTTATTTTAAGGTTTTATTTTTTTAAAGATTTATTTATGCATATAAGCACTGGTGTAGGCTCGAGGTGTGGGGGGGCGGGGTGAGAGGATTCAGCAGAGACAGAGTGGGGAACAGAACAGGCAGACTGAAATACACTACTGAGGGGAGCAGTAGGCGAGGCAGGAGAGGTCTGCTATGCCATGTGAGTTAGCTCCCTGGCTGGCCGGGGATTGAACCTCCTGCTGCAGAGGCTGCGGATAGCTTCACAGTGCTGTGCTTAACCCCTTGTGCCACCAGGGAGGCACACAGTCTAAATATTTAGCAGCATAGTTTAGATCACAACATTGTCTTGCTGAGAACTCTAATGGTTTACAAACAAAGCCCTGTCTGATCAGGTTTCTGCTCACCTCTCTTCTCTCTCTTTTTTTTTTTTAAATTTATTTATTTATACATGCCGGAACTGGGGTATAGGCCAGAGGTTGGGGGGTGAGAGGTTTCACCAGAAACAGTGGGGAACAGAACAGGTGGATTGACTGATACGCACTGCTGAGGGGAGCAGCAGGCAAGTCAGGAGAGGTCTGCTGCACCATGTGGGTCACCTCACTGGGCGGGGATTGAACTCCTGCTGCAGTGGCTGCGGACAGCTTCCTAGGCTGCGTCTTAACCCCTTGCGCCACCAGGGAGGCCCTCTCCTACTTATCAT